TGTTTTGAAGGTGATTCTAAATGCACTGTTCTTTGACTATGATCTGAAAAAAGCTGTGTTGGGGCCGAGGCTCCACAACCAGCTGGATCCCAACGCCACTGAAGCAGAACCAGACTTTGACTTGGTGAGTGTCACAAAAACAACACTGACGTATGTGAGTGTGTGGGGAGACAATCCCTCACACAAAAGCCCAGCTAACATAAAGCCCTTCTAACTTCTTACCCAAGAATTTCTTCATTATTTCTACCTTCAGGGGTGTGAAGAATGGAGAAATATTTCAGCAATTTGTGGTGGTAACGGGCTATTTGTGGTCTTTCTAAAAATAGGCAAATCCTCCTATATACCGTATATGGTTGCTGTAAAACTTGCTCATCTCAATATAATGTATTTTAAATGTACCATTAAGGGTAATTAATGGAAAGATATTAACTAGAAAACTAACCCTTTATTTAATGTTTTACTGGGATGTAAAATATGTAGCTTCTGTTGCTACCTCTTAATTACGCATGATTTTGAAATATTATCTATTGTGTGTCGGGCAGCACATAATACTTCAGAGTTTTCTGTGATTACTGGCTTAATTGAAGATTTATTTTCGCAGACGTTACTCAACATGATTTCTTAAAATAGGCATCATTCCCAATTTATCAAAACGTTTTAAAACCAACACTCTGAACAGACTTGGCATTTTTTATCCCTGCTGTGCGCTAAAAAGATCTAACTTGAACATCGAGCCACATTTATTCAGTTTTCTTTCATATTTGCTCCTGTTTGCAGAACGTCCTGGAAGGTTTGGCATTGAAGAACCACGAGATAAAGTACCTGAAATCGACAATAGCTGTGGTGCAGGCGGTGGTTCGCTATGAAGACGGACTCCACGCTCAGTCAGATTCTCGCAAGTGGGCATACGCCGCCGGGTACTGAGGTCATAAACTCACCACTGATTATGCACAGAGCATGTAGCAGCATGAACTTTGACACCAGTGCTACGAGCTGAGAGATTAGAGACTTAATAAAGAACAAGGAAACAACGTCGACACCAATTGTTCTTTCATTAACATAGAACATGCTTCATGACACAACTCAGATAACAGCACAGTGACTTTTGCTCTCTATGACCTTGAAACAAAGCGCCTCAGTCTGAAATGAATTCTGAATTTTTAGTCTAATGTCCGACGCATTTATATGCAGCATCATTTCAAGTGATTAAGAAATGCACAAGCCATTAGAAGTTTAACCATCAGCATGTTTTTTTTTAACAGCCTCATTCACACATGCTTCCAACCCCTACCTGTTTATGAAACACTTAATCATTAGCAGTGTTCAGCTGTTCATTTTGTTTTCCTTTAAAGATATGATTTGTGACGTCAATGGTTATTGCTAAAAATTCAACTCAAGCAAACAGAATAAACCAAAACAAAAGGAAAAACCTCAAATAATTATCTTTTAATCTTTTAAAACGTTAACATATTTCACCAGGATGTTTCATAGGTGACAGCAGACAAAGGGAGGACAGGCATAACCCATTTTAAAAATAAAAGACTATAAAACCTCAGGGACAAACAGTTCTAATGACTTACAGTAATGTCCCATAGCCCAGAGTGCAATGGCCTGTAATGACCTCATAACAATATTACAGCTGTTGCTGCTCACTGTCAGCGCTGGGATTCAGGGCTCTTCTTCTCTCAGCGCCAGTGTAAATGTGTTACATAATTATTCAAATGTAAAAAGAATGTAAAATGATACTGCCTTTATCAAAGTTTTGCTTGAAATGTCTGATCTACCTGTGATAGAAACTGTGATAACACAAAGGTTTAACATTCACAACACATATTTATTTAACTTACAATCTCAATGTTAGTAGATCACAATAGATTTGATTGTTTTTATCAAATTGATTGAGGAGATATTGTCGATTATTTTATTTTCCTTCAAATTAAACACTTGAAATTAACATACTGCGATGAATAAAAACAAACTGCTTATAAAAGTATTTCTGGTGTCAGGCTTTAATATTTAGTCAGGTGATCCTCCCATATACAGGACTGTCTCAGAAAATTAGAATATTGTGATAAAGTTCTTTATTTTCTGTAATGCAATTAAAAAAACA